GATTACCGGGCATTGCACAGATTGATCCTATAGGCTAATCAACTTAGGACTTCCCTTCCCCAGTTCACATGTATTTAGCTATCTAAATTTCTTTTTCTTTACATATATGTGTTTAAACTGTCTAAACCTCTTAACTTTCATATATGTGCATTAGATCATCTAAGCCTCCTTGATCATATATGTATTTAGACTGTGTAAACTACCTTTATTTGCAAATCTGTGCTGAGACTTCTTACTTGTTAATTGACTAATTCACATAGTTCGGCCGGGACCCACCATTGTGGACCGCGAGGGATGTCTAACACCTTCCCCTCAAGGTTATTTCGAGCCCTTACCCTAATCTCTGGTAATGCAAACTGGTTACATGAGTTAATTGGTCTAGGTGCCCTAACGCACCTTAATCCGTTAGGTGGCGACTCTTCAAACACCCAATTCCTAAAAAGAAACGAGTTGTTCCCCTATGAATGTCGAAACCCGAACTTCCCCGCGAAGGAAAAACGGGGCGCGACAATAAGTTATATGGGTAATTAAAGCGAGACTAAAGAGTATCTTTTTTCCTTTTTAAATGGATACATTGTGTAAATTTCGTGACACTTTGCAAATAGCGACTTGTAAAAGTGTAATTAGTAGGAAAATAATATCCCTAAACTAACCACGAAAAAATAATGCTGCTTCTTTTTCTTCTTCGCTTCTTTTAAGTTTTTTTTTTTTCACTCTAGCTTTGATTAATTTGATTCAAATTTATTCAATGATTTGTGCATAAAGTTAGTTGGTATATGTATATAGATAGAGGCGGATCCAGGATTTAAACTCTATGGGTTCAACTTTTAAAAATTTTAACATTGAATTATATTTTTAAAGTTATGGTTTCATATTCTTTTTTTGGCAATTTTAATAAATTTTTACACATAAATTTCTACTCCGTATCGAAAGTCACGGGTTGAATTGAACCCGTATGTACCACATTGCATCCGCCCCTGTATATGGAGTGAGATGTTTACATCTATATTATTATGATATGTGAATTTGATTTCGGTGCATTAACAAATTATAGTTTGTTAATAGGCCACCAAATCTCGATTTTTGGTGTATTTGAGTTCACGATTTTTCTATATGAAGGTTCTATGATTTTTATTTATCAAAAAACTCTAAAACAATTTCTGGAGTTTGAACTAATTTTTAAATCATACAATTTTCCTTGAGTTTGAACTGGGTGAACTCCAAGAATTTTTCCTTGAGATAATGTAATAAATTTAATTTTTTGTCTACATCAATAAAGTAAAAAATGAGGTGTTCTTGGTAAAAGAAGCCATATTATGGGCTACATGAAGGTGCGATGCAACAAAGAGAAACATTAATGGGCCTTTTTTTTTTAGCCCCCGTCAGAAATTATTTATACTCGAGAGCCGAAAAATATATAAAATATGAATTGTTTTTATTTTGTGCCCCACACAACTTGATACTAGTTGTATGAGGCCTTTTTTTGTCTCACAACTGTGTGGTCCCAGAATTTTTGTGGACCCAGATGTGTAAGATATGGGTACACAAATATGTGAAAAGAGGCCTCACACAACTAGTGTAAGTTGTGTGAGGCACAAATATATATATATATATATAGACTATTATTTTAAAAGCGGCTGTACAATATCATTACAAAAAATGGTAGAGCTCCAACATATGATGGAGTTTTACACTATGTTAGGAGTTTAACATAAAGGGAATTCTCTAGCATAATGTGCACAAACTCTAGCAGAATGTGCTTTTTATGTTTCAGTTAGGAGTGTTTTTATCTAAAATTTATTTTCATATTAAGAATAATTAATTTTCAAATTTATTTCAAACAACGATTAAATATTAAAAACAATTCTAAAATTAGCCAACCTACCTAATATTTAGGTAAAAATCCCTATTAACAACCAAGAAACAGCACATCTTACCTCACTTATGGGCTCCATAAAAACCCATCAAAGGCCCATTTCTCACCCTGCCCTTTGCTCTTCCATTGTCGTCCACCAATCTTTTCAATCCTCTAACGAATTTATCAAAGGCCTAAGCTCTCTGTTTTTCTTTATATTTATTCCGTCCTAATTTATATGTAGTATTTTAACTTAAATGTTGTGCGTATATCTTATATAACAACAACGACATACCCAGTATAATTCCATAAGTGGGGTCTGGGGAGGGTAATGTGTATGCAGACCTTACCCCTACCAGGGAGATAGAGAGGCCGTTTTCGATAGACCATCGGCTCAAGAGAAGGTGGAAAGGAAGAAGAAGAAGAAGAAAGAAAGAAAGAAAGAAGGGGGGGGGGGGGGGGGAGAAAGACAGATGAGGGAGACAAAAGACGATAAGAAAAAAGAGGAGAAAAAGTAGCATTAGATAGTAACAATCAGGGAGCAACAATTTCCAGTAAAAGGGAGAAAGAGTAGCATCAAATAATAATAATCAGGGAGCAACAATTTCCAGTAGCAATTTTCAAAAACACGGGACATGGTTGTTAAGTACCAGATATAATGACAAACTAAAAGGAAGATAACTTCAACCAACAACAAGAATATTACTAGTACTATTGGTAACCTCGGAGAAACTCAAAACTACCTGTCAACCCACCACCTTAATTCTCGGCCTCTACGCCTTCCTATCGCTAGTCATGTCCTCGGTTAGGTGAAGCACCGACATGTCCTGTCTAATCACATCTCCCCAATACTTCTTTGGCCTATCCCCGCCCTTCCTCAAGCCCGCCAGGTCAATCTCTCACACCTCCTAACCGAGGCATCTATGTCTCTCATCCTAACATGCCCAAACCATTGCAGCCTCGATTCCCGCAACTTGGTTTCCACTGATGCCACTCCCACCTTGTCCCTAATAACTTCATTCCCGATCTTGTTTTTCCTGGTATGTCCATACATCCATCTCAACATCCTCATTTCAGCCACGCTCATCTTCTGGACATGGGACTTCTTGACGGGCCAACACTCAGCTCCATACAACATAGCCGGTGTAACCACCACCTTGTAGAATTTACCCTTACGTCTAGGCGGCACATTCTTATTGCATAAAACCCCCGAAGCTAGCTTCCATCTCATCCAACTCGCTCCAATGCGGTAAGTAACATCCTCGTCAATCGCCCCGTTTCCTTAGATTATAGACCCAAGATACTTGAAACTATCTCTTGTGGAAATGACTTGAGTATCAATCTTGACTTCTACTTCTTCTTCATGCCTCCCATCACCGAACTTGCACTCCAAGTATTCAATTTTCGATCTACTCAACTTGAAACCTTTGGACTTTAGCGTCTGTCTCCAAACTTCCAACCTTAGCGTTAACACCACCTCGCGTCTCGTCAATCAGAACTATGTCGTAAGCAAATAATACTTACCACGGCACCTTCCCTTGTATGTGTCGTGTCAGCACATCCAACGCTAGGGCAAACAAAAACGGGATAAGGGTTGATCCCTAATGCAACCCCATCTCCACAGGAAAATGCTCTGAATCTCCTCCCGCAGTCCTCACCCGAGTCTTAGCACCTTCGTACATGTCCTTGGTCACCCTAATGTATGCCACCGGGACTCCGCTGACCTCCAAACATCTCCATAACACCTCCCTCGGGACTTTGTCACAAGCCTTCTTTAGGTCAATGAACACCATGTGCAAGTCCTTTTTCCTCTCTCTATACTGCACCACCAATCTTCTCACAAGGTGAATGGCTTATGTAGTATAAGTATTATATTAATATCATAAATATGATATTATATCTTATATTAACAAATATAGAACTTTTAAAAAATTATATAAATATTGTCAAAAAGTTTATTTGAGTTACAAAAGTTAAAGAAAAAGTGTAAGTTCTTGATATCTTATGGTGGTCTGGATACATGTGTTAACTTGCTTCAAAAAGTTAAAACATCTTCAAGGTGGCTAGAAAGCTATATATTTCGAGTAAAAATTAAAGAAATCATATTGAAAAACTATTTGCCTGATCACAAAAGAATAAAGTGCCCGCATCCCGTATAGGCTCTTTGATCTTTGTAGCATACGTCACTAAGCTCTCGTTAGCATAAACCTCCTCTAACTTGGTGCAACACCAATGATGTTGAAAGGCACCAACATATCCAAGAACTTGTTAGATATATCATTCATGTTGGCAAGTGGTTTATTAGGCTCATAAGGTGATCCGAAATTGCAAAGTTATTTTGTTACATTATCATTGACAAAAATAATGGCAGACTTTGTCTTCCTTATTATCGAGGGAGCGCTAGCCATTAAATATTTCTACTATATTTTAGTTTGTTTATAGAACAATATGTATATCAAATATCATTAATAGTATTTTTATCTGCAATGTTCTCAAATGAAAGATTCTATAAATTTGATTGGGAATACAAAAAGGTACCAGGCGTTTCCAATAGACCAGATACATTAAGTAATTATCAGATTAAAACTAGTGAAAAATGCTATAAAAATAAAAATGACCGAAATACTTTCAATTGGATTGTTAGATGATTTTGGTTGCGAATACAAAAATATCTCACATGTTTCAAAAAGTATTTCATACGTTACATTATATTTTTTATATTTTCATATAAAGTGTAGTAGAAAATTAAAGGCTCAATTTATTATGAGATTTTCGCCTTTTGGTACAAAAATATTATAAAAGTGATGTTTAAACGGAGGGCAAAAAGGTCAATTAACTTTTAATAGATATTTTGATCTTTTACGTTTGTACTTTAAGCTTCACACTTATAATATAGTATGATATGATATTTGGTTTTTTAGCTTTGTACTTTGGGCTTCACACCAATAATATAGTATGATGATTATTATTTTAAATTTTATAATTTAAAATATACTTAAATATTTATATAAATAAATATTATATTTTTTAAGAATAAAAATTAAATTATTTTTAAATATAAAAAGGTGATATTTTTTTTTTGCAGATTAAAAAGAAATTGTGCCACCATAAATTGAGACAGAATGGAGTATATACCGCCTTCCTCCCCGAGCCCGACCCGTATATAAAAGAGCGAGCTACAATACACTTCTTCTCAAATCAATCAAAAAACCCTATCTCCCTTTTCAATTTCCAGCTCCTCCCCCTTCCCAATATCCCGCAGTCGAAGCTCACAACTCTCAAACTGTTGTTCAATTTCTGTATTTTTTTCATTTATCTGTATTACTGATTTGATTCATTTATCTCCGTGTATGTAAAATAAAGATCAGATTTAGTCCTTTAGATTGTCGTTATTCATGAAATATACATGAAATTAGCTGTAATAAGTGATAGATTCTTTAGTTTTTATTTGCATTTTTCCAATTCTGATTGTAACCCATGTAAAATAGTCCGAATTTAGGGTTAGGTTTTTCTGTTTTTTTTTTTTTTTGGGAAATTGATAAAGTGATGGAGATGGAGGGTTCTCGTAGACCATTTGATAGATCAAGATTAGAGCCAGGACCTAAGAAACCAAGATTAACCGAAGCTGGAACCGACCGGAGCAGCTCAAATGGGTCGAGCTTCATTTCTCAACGGGCTGCTGCTTCTAATTCGAGGAGCAGTGATGCGATTCGCGGGCCTTTTCAACAGCAGCAACAGCATCAGGAGCTAGTGAGCCAGTATAAGACTGCTTTAGCTGAATTGACATTCAATTCGAAGCCCATTATTACGAATTTGACCATTATTGCTGGTGAGAATTTGCAGTCTGCTAAGGCGATCGCTGCTACTATCTGCAACAACATTATTGAGGTGATAATTCCGGTTTTTAAATGTTACTGGTATCAATGTTGTTAATTTTGTTCAATTTTACTTAGATTTCTGATTCATTAGATTAGTGCAGCTGGTGTAATCTGAGTGTTATAGCTGGAATAGAGTAACAATTTGTAAAGGATATCTTGGTTAGTGAGAAATTCGGTTACTTTACAAAATTAAATGGTTTCTTTGCTGTGGTGAATGATATGTCTTGATTATAACTTTAGTTATTAGAATTGTCCACTGAAGTTCTCCGAAATACTATGGTTTGTGAAACAATTCCAATGCGCAGTCGCAGTTTTTCCACATCATAAATGAGAATGATTATGTGAGCCATTGGGAAAAACTAAGATCTCAACAGCATTGTATTGCTTCAATTAAAAATGACTCATGCAGTTGCTATTCGCGGAAGGTTAATGTCTGGCCAATACAAACTCTTTTCAGATTTCTTTATAGGTTTCGAAAAGGCTAACTCTAACTTTGCTATATTTTGGGTGATGAAGGGATGATCCAATTTCTTGATTGTAAAGCAGTTCATTAACATGCGACCTGACATATACTTGTCTGGTGATTGAATTTGTCGGAATCACGTGTATGAACATAATTAGGCTATTCAGTTTCCTCAAGGTCCAGTAGTATCCATTTGTAGTCAGATGAAGGATGTATCATGTTTATCTTATTCTATTTCTGCATAAATATTTTAGTGTCATGTCAAGTTCAAGAATCAAGGCGCACGCTGTTACGCTGAATCTTGCTTTCTGCAGTTGCGCAATTTTGGATGTTAGATAAACTAATCTTGAGCCTTTGCTTTTGGGATAAGCAGACATCAAAGGTCTGGCAACCCCTTGGTTTTTCTTGTCAAATAACTTAGCCGTATTGTGCTTGTTTGACAAGTGGATATCTGTGATTCAAAAAAGAAAATTTCGGCTAATTCCAAAGTGAGAGGGAAATCACATTCATACCATGTGATATTCATATCTATATCCATTTAAATTATTCATGTCCAAATTAAAATCTGAATGAAGTTTCAGATGCTTTTGTTTTTTGTTTAAAAGGATAAAGGAAAGATCTCCCTTCACCCCTCCTTGAAATTCTTCCATCTTTTAATCTGAATGGTTTGTTTTTCTGCAAAATACATAATTTCGCTGTGATAAAATGAGCGATGTCCATGATATACTTGTTTTATTATATCATTGATGCGATTCAGGTAGAACTGATGTTTTGTCTAGATTTTGTATTTAAATGTTGCTTGTATATAGAGATAGTGAAATGAATGTGTGCAAGTGCAAGCAGATTCGATTTTCCATGTAACATGATAAGACCTCCGTTCCCTTAACTGAGCTGGTTTATTCTATACTCAAATTGTTCACCAGCTTGGCCAAAGATGATTTCTATGTTGGTACTTCTATGGCCCAATTTACTATTCAGTTTGTCTGCTGAATATTTAGTAATACTTCTATTGCCCAGTTTACTATTCAGTTTGGCTGCTGAATATTTAAGTAAGTGTTCTAGAGCTGTAGTTTGGTGCTTATAGTCTTTGCTTTGCTGCTTTGACTAATGCTTCTGCCTCTTTTATTTAAAATTTGGTTTCTTCCTTTGTCCTCTTGGCATATAGTTTGCACCAATGAGTGTCAATGGCTTTAGCAAACTTATTCTAACTAGCCTGGAAATCATCGCAGGTTCCTACTGAGCAAAAGCTGCCATCTCTATACCTTTTGGACAGTATTGTGAAGAACATCGGGCGGGATTATATTAAGTATTTTGCCGGCAAGCTACCTGAGGTCAGATTTGGATTTATATGTAGTTTGTCGTGATCATGTTTCTTTTAAGCCTTTGTGTTTTCTCCTGAGGAAAAAAAACCTCTGTAACATACTCTTATCAGCTTTTCTATTTACTACTTTAAAAAGAAAAAACTTTTCTCAGTTTTTTTTTGCACTGTGAATGTGACACCCATCTGAGTGGATGATGATGTGGAGCACTGTGAAGTCCTATCTTACCTCAAGTAGCCAATTGTTGTTGCTAGTTGAAGAAGATAGCTGTATCATTGCAAGCTACTACATAATTAATCATTATTGGTTTTCTTTCATGTGTTTCAGGTCTTCTGCAAAGCTTATAGACAGGTTGAACCTTCGGTACATCCTGGGATGCGGCATCTTTTTGGAACTTGGAAAGGAGTATTCCCCCCTCAACAACTCCAATTAATTGAGAAGGAGCTCGGATTTACAACTGGTGTCAATGGCTCTTCATCAGGGACATCTAGGCCCGATCCCCAGGCTCAACGACCTGCACATAGCATTCATGTAAATCCCAAATATCTGGAGGCAAGGCAACGCCTACAGCAATCAACCAGGGTCAGTAGAGTAGCCATCTTGGTGCTCCCGCTTGAATCTATTTTCTTGAGTACCTTATGCAGTGCTGCTGTTAAGTCACATTTCCCAATTTTTATTATTTCAAATGCTGAGTTTATCCCAGTCTTGTGGAGCTGTTAGATGAGCTTCCGCCAGCTGGAGATTTAAAACATTGTTCTCTTAATAGTTAATACAAACACATGTAGTGCTGCCCTTTGTTTAAGCTTGGTTGTGGTTTTGGGGAGGAATAGTTAGTGATATTATGAACTATTGACTGCTTATTACTAGAGCGGGATACTAATAAAACTTGAATGGTCTCACTATCGTAGACTTCTCAAAAATGGGTGAATCCTCAATTAAAGGTTTATGACACAACCTGCCATGTCAACCTGTTCTCAGGAGTTAGTGTTAGTACTTTTGCCTATTTTTGTGCTGATGTTCTTGGTCCTTCTCTTGAGCAGGCGTGAGCCACTTCATCTAAAAGCACCTGTTAGAGAAGGACATTTCTATTTTTTAAATTGTAGTACAACATGCCGCCTCACCTGTGGTCTTGATTTTTCTTTTCGTGGGTCAATTTTGTGGAAATATATTTTGATGGGTGATGGTGGGACTTGAACCTTGAACTTCCTGTATTGAATTATGTGGACCACCTCATTTAGAACTTAAACACTTGTATGTATTCATTGTAAATCATATCTCCTGCAAATACTCTTTATCTTAATCTGTGTTCTTTGTTATTGTGAAGACAAAAGGAGCAGTTAGTGACATCAGCAGCACTCTTAACGTAAACGAGAACGTAGAGAGACCGGAGATAACAACCAGTGTTAGTTCTGGAAGATCATGGATTGATCCTTCTATTAAGGTAGTGGTGTGGAATATGTTTTAACTATTAAACATCTGCAGATATGCATGCTTAAATTTTATCAGGTTAAGGAATCTAAGACATTTAATATTGCAACATTGCAGCGTGCTCAGAAAGAAAAGTTGAACGAGCATGTTCCTGAGAAAACTATCAGTGCAGCATATGGAGATTCGGATTATGGTTCTGATCTGTCGAGGCGTCCTGCCTTTGGAGTAGGAAGAGGAGGTGAGAGATTTAAGGAACAGGGGATCGATAAACCTTGGTATGATTCTGGGACTGGTAAAATATTGAGCCAAAGAAGCGGCTTGGACATTAAGCATGGGTTCCAAAGTATATCCCAAAAATCTGCAACCTCTGATGCACATCCACAACTGATACAGTCCTTGCCAAATAGAACCAGTACTTTGACTGATAGGAGCTGGAAGAATTCTGAGGAAGAGGAGTACATGTGGGATGATGTAAACAGTGCAGCTAAAGACCGGTGGGCATCTGAGGATTCAGATAAATCTGTAAGAGAAAATGCTTAACCAATATTTATTCAAAGTGTTACTGGGTTTTTTATTTCTCAAAGAATTACATGCGCTTCGCCTACTGTAGTTGTAGTTCTGGACAGAGAATCCACATTAATATGAAAATCTGGTAATAGTTTGCTTAAAGTTAATAATGTCAAATCCATTAGCTTCGTCCAATCTTTTACTTTATGATAAGTTTAGCTTTTCTTCAATCTAAATTGTTTGTTTCTAATGCTTGTAAAATCAAGAACCACCTTTGCTTTTGATAGAAATTACTGTTTGAGCACCAACTTCTAGCCCTTCTGGATGGATTAGCATATTCTCCTACTCCTAGCTGCTACTCCCCTCTCTCTAGAACTTTTTTTTTTTGAAATCTGAAAGCCCCATTTGCAACTTTGTCTACCATACCGATCTATTTGTCATGTATTAGCTTGCTTTAAGATGGCTTAAGTACGGCCAAAGTCATTTCCTAGTAATAATAGGTTACCAATATGCTTAAACTAGTTGAAGGCATTTCTTTGTTAAATCGACGATTTAAATACTTTTGACTATTGTTAAATGAGGAAGTCTCATATTTGCTTGTCGAAGCTACTTTTTGGTTGTTTATCGTGAATGTAAAATGTCCCTATGCTGTTTTAACAGATCGATCTTATTATTTTCCTGAATCTGCAGGACCTAGAAAATCAACTGAGGAGACCGCAAAGCATAAGGGAGGTCGGATTAAGGGCTGATAGTGAAGCCTCGGCTGATTCTCTTTCTGGTGATGAGCGAGGCCAAACATCTTTCGGGAATCAAATGTCAGCAATGTGGTCAAGGGATTCACATGCTTTAGATGGAGCTAGGCATTCAGCTTCTCTTCGAAGTGCTCCAGTTCAAGAAGGATATCCAACTTCTTTCAGTTCGTTGTCAAAAACTGCAAATTCAATAGGTCGGACATCTTTCAAGTCACAGACAGGTTCAGTCCATGTTGGAGCGCCAAACTTTGTGCCGATGAATGCAACTTTGGAGTCCAGGGGATCCATAGTGCAACAGCAGCGAGAAACTCTCAGAGCTGCCTCTCCCTCTGCTCACTCACCAATGTATCAGCATCCTCCATCCCCATCAGTCATAACAAGCAACGCTAATCAAATAGCTAACAGTCTCGGTGAGCAGTACCAGCCGCAGACCACTTCTCGTTCTGATCCAAGAATATCCCAATTCTCAAGGAGATCAAATCTTGATCCTCGTAACCAGTTTTCCCAGGAATCTGTGGCAGTGCCATCACGGAATGCCGTTTCAGGTAATTCACAAAGACAACAGCCTCCAAATTTGCAGAATGCTTCTACCTTGGCCTCCTCTCTTCAGTTGCGGCATGATGTTCAGCAGGAAAGCCTGGAACCTGAATATTCTGGTCAAACCCAGAATTCAGCACTTCCTCAGATTTCAGGTTTTCCTAATCCCTCTAGCACTAGCAGTTTGTTGGCTGCTGTTTTGAAGAGTGGAATCATTGGTAGTAAATCAAGTTCAGGTACGACACCGAGTTCTCTTGATAAGGGTGCTCTGTCATCCCAAGCCAGTGCACAGCCTCCTTTACCAAGTGGTCTTCCTCCTGCCCAGTTTTCCCCACCTGGGCCCAGGATTCCAGCGGCCTCTATCTCTAGTCTATCGCTGGACAAAAATGCTTCAAACACTCCAAATTATAACCCCCAAAGAAATGTAGAACCGCCACCATTGCCACCTGGGCCACCTCCAACTCTTGTAGAGGGTGCATCACTGCAGCCTTTGAATGCAGCAAAATCTGCTTCTAGTCCCCTGTCAAGCATTTTGAGCACATTGGTAGCGAAGGGGTTGATATCTGCATCAAAGAAGGAGTCCCCTACTTATACTCCTTCGGATACACCTCCTCAAACGCAGAACCATATTCCACCAGCAAGCTCCATGTCAACTCCTGCTTTATCTGCTCCAATATCCTCATCCATTCCTTTCTCGGCTCCGGAGGCCGAGATTACTCTCTCAAAACCTGCTGCTAAAACCCCTGATGCCTTACTTCGGTCCACCAAAGAAGAGGCAAAAAGTCTCATTGGGCTTGCGTTTAAGCCAGATGTGATTCGGAAGTCCCATCCTGATGTGATCAGTGAACTTCTTGATGACGTTCCGCATCAGTGTGGCATATGCGGTTTTGGACTTAAACTCCAAGAGCAACTTGATAGACACTTGGAGTGGCACGCATTGAGAAATCCAGATGTCAAACTGTTGAATAATTCAAGAAAGTGGTATTTAAATTCTGGAGAATGGATTGCTGGATTTGGTGGCCTCCCTTGTGGTGATAAATCTAAAGGGACAACTGGAGGTTCTAATGAAACAGCAGAATGTACCGAAGCCATGGTTCCTGCAGATGAAAGTCAATGTGTATGCGTTTTGTGTGGTGAGCTTTTTGAAGACTTCTACAATGAAGAAAGTGACAAATGGTTGTTCAAAGGTGCTGTTTACATGAGTATTCCAGGTGAAAGTGGTACTCAGGGTCCGATAGTCCACAAGAACTGTATTTCAGAAAGTTCTTGTCAAGAGTTGGGACTTGCCTAGGATATTAAATTGGTAAGTGATATGATGTTTTACGGCAGGCGCCCATAGAAGTTGGTTTCTGTTATGAATGATCTCCCCTGCTTATAGATTGTAGATGTAATTCCTGGCGGAAATTGTTTCTTTTATTTTTTCAATGCTTTTTTATGCATCATTGCATTGTGCCTTACCTCTCATAGATAAACCTGAATTTAGATGTTTTAAATACTTCACTAGATACTAATGATTAAAGAAAGTTTTTCATATGGGCATGTTGGTTTCTACTGTTAAATGGGTGGCATCTGTTTTTCAAAGATAAGAATCTGCCATCAATTCTTATTGAAAACAAAAATTTGGTATTTTTCATTTAAATTATTCCCCAAAATTCTATTTTTACCTGACTTTGGTCCCTCAAGTGTATGAAATCTGAACAATGCAGAGTTATTTTGCTTCTCTTTCTTTTTTCTTCCCATTTCTTGTTGGCACCTATAGTAAACATCTGGATTTAGTTATCTGACAGCCTTTGTTTAGGAGGTCCGTTTTAGTATGACTGTATGAGAGAGCACCTTTTAGAGTTTTTAAATTTTCGAAGTGCTTTTGGTTTAAATTGATCTTGGACTGGCAATAAAATGGTTAGACAAGTTATGCTGCCTGTGAAAGTCGGAATTTGGAACTTGTGGACTGGCAATAAAATGGAGGAAGCTTAAGTTTAGAAAAAGTGAACTAGTGATACATTCTGATCTTTCTTGAACTTGCCTACTTGCTTGGATATTTCAGTCTTGCCATCCTTGATGGTTTGTACAATATTTATACATTGCTTTCAGTTACTTCATCCATTAGTAGCAATTACTGACTTGTATTGTTTCATATTTTCCGTGGTTTCATTTCTCAGGAATTGGATGCTTGATGTTTGTTCTATTAATCAAAGATATCCAGGTTCATTTTGAATTACTTGTAATGGTTATACCTCTTCTTGTTAAGCCTCTTCTATGCTTTCCTTTGAAATGGTGAAATGAAAAATTCTAGATGCTAGAACAGTTTTCGCATCACATATTCCACAATTGGTTTACATTTTCTGTTCTCTTACATCGTCATCAGTGAGTGAGTTTCAGTTTCAGCTACTGATGCTATTGAACAAAAATCATCCAGCTGCATTTCTGTTCAAGAGCAAACTCAAACTTGCTAAAGCAAGCTACCGAGTGTATCACTTTGTTATCTTAAGGCTTTATTTTGGTTATGGCTCAAGTGCATTAAAGCATTAGAATTTGTTACTGATTACCTAGCCTCCGTAGCCTTGTCCCTTTTTCAGTTGTCAGATACTTGGCTAAAATTGCAACCATTGTTGGTCTTAGATGATGGATATTTCCAGATCTGATAGAAGGTTTTGGTTTATCGGTATGTAAGTTCATTGTACCTGTGTTTTACAAGTCCTTTTTTTTGTCTCGTCTAAGAAAATAGGTGGTTCTTGAAGCTGTGAACCGTCTCTGTTTACGCTTATTGCTACTCAAACCGATGAGGATCTTTACTGACACAATCTCTGTGGTGTTGTTAAACACCACAATCCTCATTTTACTTGCTTATACTGCATATTAGATAGTGTAGCGAGCGATTGTTTTCTACCATCGGCGTTCAGGCTGCCAATTGCTTGTAGCAGTATTTTCCTTTTTCCTTAAATGTTGTTGAGTCATTTGCCATTATATGCTGGGGATAACTGTGATCAAGGTCTTTTTGACTGTTAAATTATTGTTCTTTAGTGGTGGATATTTCTGCTAGCAATAGTGTATTGAGTGCATTCGGTTGTCAAGTTAACTGCAACGTCATCGCAAATATCCAATTGCAAAGCAATGCAAGTTTCAAGTGATTGGATTAGAAATATATCCTGCGTTGAGACTTGAGTAGCAAAACATTTCATAGCAAGGGATGGCAAACTTCATAAGTGAAAATGCACGTCCGAAAGAGAATTTAACTGAAGTTTATTTGATTAGTCAGCAGAAAATGTATTTTGCAAAAATATAATCTAAAAATTGAAAATATATTATCAAATCCGAGTATGCTGATGAAACTTGAGTACTAGAGATTAATAATAATGCTGCGGGCCGTTTGATATGATGGATGAACAAAATAATTTTGGAATAAAAATTTAGTATCGTCTCATCCTTGTTCGGGTATTAATTCTGGGACAAGTAAATAATAATGGGATATACTATATCTGCCAGAAGGTGGAATAATACTTCCAGGATAAGTCATCTTAGGATAAAGTAATAAAATTGACAATTCTAGGATTAATACATCATACCAAACGGTTAATAAAAATAATATTAGGATAATTAATTTCAGCACGACTATTCCAATATAACAAAAAGGACAGTTCGGAGTACTAAGCTTCCACTATGCGCAAGGTTAGGGGTAGGGTTGGTTCATAAGGGTTTATTATATGTAGTTAGAGGTGGCAAAATGGTTAAAATAAAATAGTTATTCACCCATATTATCTATTAAAGAATGGGTTGGATAATGAACGATTTAAAAACGGGTTGAATATTGATAAAGATCCATATTATCCACTTAAAAAATGGTTAACCAAATGGATAACCAATGGATAACTAATGTGTTTAATTTTTACATTTGTAAAGCCTCAAATTGGAGTTCCTCAAGTTTGGAAGATTAGGAATTCTCTCATAAGTGATCATATTTAAGAAGTCATGGATAATATGAATATCCATATTATTCGCCGGATAAATACGTGTTTTATCCGTCTCAAATACGGGTCGGAAAAAGAAAATCAAAGTTGAAAAAAGGAAACGAAAAACCCTCGCTTGAGAGCTTCTCTCTCTAGCGATTTAGGAGATCAGAGGCGACTGACCGACGATCTCACTGCCATGGCCAATTTGGCCGGCGGCCAGCCCTCAAACTTGGATGGTCAGTCCCCCAAATCACCCCCCATTGATCCTAACCCTACGAAAACAATTCCCAAGCCTTTAGATTATTCAAACATATTAAAACCTGCTGCGATAAACAGTTGCGCACAGGCGAACCCTAATTTAAACCACACTGTTGATCCCATTCCTCTTCGACGTGCAATTTTTCTGCATGGGCAGCCTCTTGTGAAGTTCACTGAATCAGAAGTGGAACGTATGAACATAATTGAAGGTCTCCAATATACTGTAGTGTGTAAATTTTCATATGGATGGCCTGAACTAATGAATTACGGAGCATTATCCCTGCTCAATGTGGGATTAAAGGTGAATGCAACGTTGGTTTTTTGAGAGACAGGCATGTCTTGGTTAGATTGACACTATGGCAGGACTACATAGATTTTACGTTCAAAAGTGCGTACTATGTCAAGGCCAAAGATGGATATGAATATCAGTTGAGGACGTAAATATATGACGCAAAATTCAAAGCTGGAGAAGAAACTCCTAAGGTAATGGCGCGGATTTCCTTCCGAAACTTGCTGCCTACATTCTTTGTTAAGGAGTATCTTTTCTCTTTAGCTTCAGCAGTTGGTAAGCCCCTACACCTGGACATGGCAACAATTAATAAATCTAGACCTAGTTGTGCTCGTGTGAAAGTGCTCATTGATCTTCTAGCTGACTTGCCTAAGAAAATCCGTATGGATATTGAGAATGATATTACTGGGGTAATAAGGACTGAATGGGTGAAGGTGAACTATGACTATTTGCCTAAGTATTGCAAGGAGTGTAAACTTCAAGTCCACGATGAGATGGAATGCTGGGGATTGCATCCTGAGTTAATGGAGAACAAAGGTGATGACAAACAAGCTGAAAATGCTAAAGAACACGATAAAGGTAAGGAAAAAGGTCCTTTGATGATTTTATCAAATGGAAAGGTTGTGGGTAATGTTAGCGAGCAATGGAAGGAAGTGAGAGGCAATCATGTTAAGCCAGGTGCTAAACAAGGTACTATATCCAACACTGGAAAAGAGTTCGTTCCATTTGCTAATGTTGGTGATAAGCAGGTCCAAACATCCAACAAATTTGCAGCCTTAGATGGCGTTGATGCTGGAGAAGTGCAGAATAAATAATTGGCAGTGATAGATGAAGTCCAAGAAGTAATTCAGGTAGATAAATCTTCTCCAACTAAAGGTAGGATTCAACTGGCTCTTGTGGAAAAGTCTACTAATTAACGCAGCCCTAAACCTAATCCTACGAATACTGAGAAAAGTTTAAACCCGGCTGCGCCAGGCTTCACTCCTAATCCTGCTGGAACTAGGGCTACAAAGGATGGGGAATCAGCTTGTATAAATGCTAAGGACAGGGAGATGGAAAGTGCAGCAAGGAAAGAGTCTACTGCTCAATGGGTTAGCCGTGCTTTTGGCAGCAACAATGCAACACCTGGAGATGGTAATGCTGTGGAGGCTGTTAAGGAATTAATGTGTGATGACCTAGCTCGTTTTGTTACTACAAATCAGTCATGCCAGCAAGTTCCTTCTCAAACGCAAGACACACAATGTAAAACTGGGCAAATTATGGAGTAATCAAACGGAGGAATTTTCAGAAGAAGAAGAAGAAATTCAAGAGGAAGATGATGAACAATCAATGGAGAATGATGCTTTGGCAGATGTTGATGAAGAGGAGGATCGTGTGACTTTAGTTGAAGCTATCAGGGCTAGTAAGAAACAACAAGGCAAGTTAAAGGGAACTGAAGGTGTTGACAAACCTGTAATGCACGAAACAAGCTCAAAAACTAAAGAAAAACCTCCCAGAATCACTAATCCACTTGAAATACCTAACCCTAACCCTATCCCTAACCCTAACCCTAGCTCGGTGGATGGATCCTTAACCAATTTGAACCCTATTACCACTGATATTGTTGAGAATGATCCAGCTACAAAGAGCCTACCAGTGGTGTCTACTTATCCAAATAATCAACCTCTGAAGGTGGCAAAGGAAAACCTGAACAAGTTAATGATTCCAAAACCTGTGCAAACTTAGATTGTGGGGCAGAATCAGGCACAAGAGGAGGAAGACCCACACACAAGAGGAGGAAAAGATCTTGATGCAGAGTCCACAGTTCAAAATTTCATGAAGATTGCTAGACAAGGAGATTTATCACCTACACAGATTGAGAAAGCAAAATCAGCGAGCAGAGGAAGAAAGAAACAGCAAAAGGAGAACACTAGTGTCCCTGGCATTGGTGTACAAACGAGAAGGACCCTTTCTAAATCCAGTAATTAGATATGAATGCGATTATCTGGAATATAAGGTCAGTCAATACAATGCAAGCTTTTGAAAGGCTTGTTACAATGCATAGATCACTTTATTGGATTGATGGAGCCAAAGCAAAATAGAAACAAGCTGGAAACATATAGGATGAAGCTTGGAATGCCTCAAGCTTTTGTAAATATTTCTAACAAGGTATGGGCTTTTGCGGAGGAAGACTATGAAGTAGAGGTGATTATTGATATAGAGCAGCATCTTACACTAAGACTATTAAATAACCAGACACATAAGGAATCAATAGTCACCTTAGTGTATGCCAAATGTGATGCAATTGAAAGAATTGAATTATGGGATACGATGTATGCACTGGCTAGTGATATGACTCTTCCATGGCTTGTCAGAGGTCATTTTAGTGTGATAGTTGATAATGAAGAGAAGTTTGGTGGGAGGCGAGTTTCTTTGAATGAAATTGAAGATTTTAGACATTGTATCAACACTTGTAACTTGTTTGATTTGGGCTTCAAGGGCAGTATCTACACATGGTGGAATGGAAGAACCGATGATGATTGTATTTTTAAGAGGTTGGATAGGTGCTTAGGTGTCACACCTCCTTTTTACACACCTACCCCGAAGGATAATGTATAAGGGAGTTTTTCCATTTAAAGTGACATTATTCGAAATGGGATTATTTATTTATTTCTTTAGAGTCGCCACTTGGGATAGGATGGGCTTTTGGTGTCCCAAGTCACCAGTTTTAATTTATATCCCAAATCGAGGAAAAATTCGACTTCCCAATTGGAGTCTGCGAACCAGAAATTCTGAATAAGGAATTCTGTTGACCCAAGGGAAGGTGTTAGGCACCCCCGGATCCCGTGGTTCTAGCACGGTCGCTTAAATTATTATAATTGGCTAAAAATCTGATTTTTTATACATATTTAAACCTATAGTGCGATTTTAGGATTATTTACCGCTTTTAATTACGAAAGTGAACGCCGTTTAAGAGCGTGCTTTTGGATCACGTCACATGAAATGCACCCGGATCCTCAACACCTCTTATTCAACGTTTTGGGATTTGGATTTGGGTTGCATGAAATGCACATCCAAGTTTAGGAAAGTAATATTATTAAAATTCGCGCTTAAAGCAACTAGCGTGTTGATATCTTTGTGGGAAGCCATGGAAATTTGCTAAAATGGCTTGCCCAATTTCTAAAATATTTTAACAAAGTATTCAATGAGGGCCCCGCAAATTTATGTGTTTTGTTCGGCGAAGCTCATCTCACTTTATTATTTTAAGGCCATCCTAAAGCAAACTATAATTTTCTATTGAATTGGTCTCTAAAGGGTCCTAGTTAATTTGATATTATAAATTCGGGCTTCAAGTTCAAGTCCGGATTCAAACAAAAGGGAAAACCTCTTAATTTGAACCCGCTACTTAACTCGTAAGCCCAAATTTATGTCACCAAATTAATCTTAATGCTCTTGAATGGAATTCGAGCCTTTCAGCATGTTGGACTTTG